CAAAGGGCAGGTGTTCAGGAGAGAGGTGGGGCCTCCAGCCGCGCCCTTCACCTTGCAGAAGTCAGTGCATCCACAGCCTTCGCTCCTCAAGGACGCACCAGGAGCACGGGAAGGGCCCAGCTCATAGCCCAGCTCCGTATTATGGTTGGAATTATTATAAAAGGTTCACAGCACCCCAAATCTGCTTCAGCTGTGGCTTCAGCCAGAACTGAACGGGGATCTCGGATTGGGTTGCTTGGGCTTGCCGCTGTCAGCTCAGAGCCCACTTGGAATCCCCTGTCCCCCCGCGCTCTCTCTCTGCCCCTCCCCCCCTCAAAAAAGAAATAAACATTAAAAATATGCTTTCACCAAACTCGTGCAACTCAACACCAACGAAGCAAACAATCCGGTTTTTAAAAAATGGGCAAAAGATTTGCATAGACGGTTTTCAAAGGAGACATCCAGAGGGCCGGTAGACACACGAAGAGCTGCTCGAATCACCCGTCATCAGGGCAATGCAAATCAAAGCCACAGTGAGATGTCACCTCACAGCAGCCACGGATGGCTAGAATCAAAAAGACAGGAAACAAGACATAACAAGGGGTGGCGAGGCTGTGGAGAAAAGGGAACCCTGGTGCACTGTCGGTGGGAATGTAAACTGGGGCTTCCACTGTGGAAAACAGTTCGGCGGTCCCTCGAGAAACTAAAAACAGAAATACCGAGGGCGCCCGGCTGGCTCAGTTGGTGGGGCATGCAACTCTTGGTCTCGGGGTCTTGAGTTTGAGCCCCGTGTCAGGGGTGGAGATAACGAACGAATGAATGATGAATGAATGAATGAATGAATGAATGAAATACCATACGATCCAGTCATTTCACTTCATTTACCCAAAGAAAATGAAAGCACTGATTCAAAAAGATACGTGCGCCCCTAACGTTCACTAGAGCACTATTTACAGCCGCCCAGACACGGAGGCAACCAAAGTTGGGTGGCTGAACGGGTAAGAAAGATGCGGTTGATGTATACAGTGGAACAAAAGAGAACGAAATCTTGCCATCTGCGACAACATGCGTGGAGTTAGAAAATGTTATGCTGAGTGAAATAAGTCAGACAGAACAGGACAAGTACGACATGATTTCACTTAATATGTAGAATCTAAAAACCAAAACAGAAACTGCCTCAGTTGGCACAGGGCCAAGGGGCACGGGGATGGGGGAAATGGGTGACGGGAACTAAGAGGAACGAATCTGCAGCTGTAAAATAAGTAAGTCACGGGGAATGAAAGGT